CAACAACATTTAGAAGCACATTTGAACATAAGCACGGAAGAATTAGTAAAAAGAGTGCGTGAGTTTTTAGGCCGGTTCTCCATCAGTCAGAGATTGTTCGGCGAGAAAGTTCTAGGCCTCTCGCAAGGTTCTGTGAGCGATTTGCTGGCGAGGCCGAAGCCCTGGTGCGTTCTGACGCAGAAAGGTCGAGAGCCCTTTGCCAGAATGAAGATGTTTTTAGAGGACCAGGATGGCATCATGACCAACCTGCTGGCCTCTCAGTGCAAAGTTAATGGCAAGATCCCTAACAGCAACAATAGCAATGATAGCAGTGTTAATGACTGCTCCAATTTGCAAGTGGCAACAACGATACCGCAGCCCTCGCATCCCCCGTCATCTTCGTTGTCTTCTTCTTCGTCATCAAATCTCTGGAGTACTGGGTTTAAACTTGAACCGTCAACCAAGCAAGCGAATATTCTTTCGGATACCGATTTCAACCAATCAAGTACCATCGCTAATGCTTCCTTATTTTTAGCAACGCCACCGTCGTTCTTATCACCAACATCGTCGTCATCATATTTATCCCCATCTTCTTCCTCATCTCCATCAACAGCTGCAGCAGCAGCAGCAAATCAAATAACCTGGCCATCATCCCTGCAACAGTTTCCTGGATTGTTTCAAACGAGATTTTCAGCGGGGTTTCCACATGGTATTCCATTTTTTCCCTCTCTGTTGACGATGCTTGGTAGTGGGGTTTCACTTTCAGAGCACCTGTCACGTTTCCAAACATCTCCCAACACCCCCTACCTTTCCCTCCCTCCGCATCCTCATCTCCCTCATTCCGTTCCTCTCCCTCCACCTCCTCATCAGCTTCCTTTTCCTCTTCCGTCTTACAGCATCCATAGCAACAGCAGCAGCAGCAGCGTCAATCTGTGCAATATAAATAGAACAGTTTGGAATTCCCGGGATCCAATACCCAGACCTTTCTCAACGGATTATTTGCTGTACAATAAAGAACGTTCTATTTTTAGAGACGGCGGAAATTCCAATGCTTCTCTTTCTAATTATAGCTCTGAGAAAACGCTCAAAACCAGCGATAGCATTGACAACAGCGCTGCCAATAAAAATAATGCCGGAAGAAATGGCGATGATGTGGACGACGATGACACAGCGATGGATTTGTCGGACCTGGGCAGCAAGAGAAAGAAGACCTTCGTTGGGGACGTAATAAATCAGGTCTCTGACGTCACGGTGAAGCAAGAAATCAACCCCGTACATCCCTACCCCTCGACCCCCAGCACATCCCTGCTCTCCGTCGAATATAAGAAGATCTTAGATGTTCAATTCAAGGAGACTCTTTCGCCTGAATTAGACACGCAAGTAAGCTGACGATGATGATGATGACGACGACGATGATAACTATGATGACGATGATGATGATGTTGTCGTTGATGATGATAATGATAATGATGTTGGTGATGATGATGTTGTTGTTGTGGTTGATGATGAAATTTGAAAAACTCGCCACCACCACCGACAACGAGCAGCTGATAACAAGCCGAGTGAGAGATCTCTTGCAGGCGAACAACCTCGGTCAGAAATTATTTGGCGAGGCAGTGCTGGAGTTGTCGCAAGGATCGGTGAGTGAGTTGCTTTCAAAACCAAAGCCCTGGCTCCTCTTGAGTCTGAAGGGCAGGGAACCCTTCATAAAGATGAACGCCTGGCTGAACGATCCTCACGGAGTAGAGAAGTTGAAAAATTTTCAAACCGTCAACAATGCGGCCGGTGGGGCTGGCTCACATGCCACTGGGAGGAAAAGTTTGTTTGATGGGGGGTGATGGTTTGCTGGGGGGATGATGGTTTGATGGGGAGATGATGGTTTGCTGGGGGGTGATGGTTCGATGGGGGGGTGATGGTTTGATGGTGAATGATGAATCGGCAATGTTGGTTTTAATGATGAAAATAGCAGCTATATACGTCCTTCTCACAATTGATACGTTCAAATTTCTACAGGCAAATCGCAACATCCCAAAAAATCCACCTCTGGAGCGGACACCCCGTCAACATCATCATCCTCTTTTTCTTCAACAACCGCAGCAGCAGCGGTAGTAGCAGCAGTAGCAGCATCATCCACTCTTCCTTCACCATCATCGTCATCATTTGTCGTTGATTTTCAACAGCAGCAAGAGGCAGAGCACATCAGCGAACAGAGCCAACAACAGCAACAACAACCATCCGAAACAGCTTCAACAACAACAACAACATCAACAACACCAACTGCAACAAAAAAGAAAAAATTTCGTTTATTTTTTACAGAGAAGCAGAAATCAGAGCTTCGTGAGGCCTACAGAAGCGAGCCCTATCCGTCCCAGCAGCGGGTCGAACACCTAGCATCCAAACTGAACGTCGGCTGCAAAACTGTCATCAACTGGTTTCACAACCATCGAATGAGAACCAAGCAAGTGCACGTCATCGCGTTGAATAGGGGAAATATATTACAGCAACAGCAACCGCAACAGCAACCGCAACAGCAACCGCTGCAGCAACAGCTTCAACCAATACAAAATTATCATCTACAAGAGCAGATACAAACGTTACAAGACGAAGTTGTTCATTCTATGGGCAAGGATGAAGGCTTGAGCAGAAAATTCCATGACAGAATGGAGAACGAAAGCGAATCCAACGAGGAAAAAACATTTAAAAATAACTTTCAGGCTTTCCCAAATAAACCCGGAAGTGAATATCTGGTAGCTGACGTCTCAGCGTCATCGTCGCCGTCTTCATTTTCGTCATCCTCTCATCAGGTCAGATGCGCCAACAAGAGGAAGCGATCGAAACCTCTGAAGATTGAAGCTGATGATGCTGATGGTGGTGATGGTGGTGGTGACGATCATGACGCTAAGGATGATGATGATGGTGATGATGATGAGGTTAATGATAGTAGCATTAATGTAACCAACAACAACAATGACGATGATGACGATGATGATGATGATAAAGAGACTTTAAACTATAATAACGACGATAATGATGATGATGATGATGATGATGATGATGATGATGATGGAGATGAGGACGATGATAAGGAAGTTAAGAATTACAATCCACCTGATGGATTTAGGATAAATACATCTGGCGAAATAGGAAGTACGAACGAGAATGACGTCAACAATCGTAATAAAATTAATTATAACTATGAAAGCTATGATATTAATGATGATAATAATGAAAACATGAATGAAATTATATCAGAAAACAGTATATAATCAGAGTATTATTTCGTCACGTATCTTATTTACACCATATTCAGTGGCGTTTACATAGAACCGATAAAAATTTGAAAAAAAAAACGAATTTTTATTTCATTTTCCGTCAATATCGCTTGTTTTATTGTATGTTCTTTGTTTTCTGTTTGTTTTTTGGTTTTTTTTTCTTACTTTTTCTTTGTTGGTCGAGCATTTTTTCATATATATCGTGTAATCTTGAATTTATTTTTCTCCGATTTTCGCTCAAAGACGTATTTACACTATACATATAATCTATATATATATTATATATATATACTTATAATATATATATATATAACACGTGCAAATTTACTGCCATTCAGTTGTAATCTTATTTCTGCCAAATCCAGTATTAATCATGCTAAGGATGATGATGAAAAGGAGGGAGAAAGAGAGAGAGAGATAAATGGAAAGAGAGATGGAGAGAGAGATGGAGAGAAAGTAAGCAAAAAAATGTTGAACATATTTTGAAAAAGGTTTAACTTTCCCTCATGATGATTTAACATCGTGACGATCAAATGAATGATATTCTAAACGAACACACACACAGATACATACACACATTTGTATAAAACTCTATATTTTATATTTTACTAATTAATATCTTAAAAATATGACAAAAAAGTATTTTATTCATAATTATTTGTATAATTTTGACGAATTTTATCACGGAAGCATTTTTGCATACTTAACAATCTTATTCTCGAACAAGTAGTATATATTTTGTATAATATTTACATTCTGAAATAGATATTTTCCCCTTTTTTATCACCACCACCACCACCATCATCATCACAAATATGACGCCATCATCATCTTCATTATCATATCCAGTAACAAAATTATTATCGTCGTCATTGTAATAATGTGCTGTGTTTTTATCTGCTTCTATATACATCTTGTCTTGAAATACATATAAATATTCATATATACATATAAATATTCATATATACATATAGATATTCATATATATATATATATACATATAAATATTCATATATATATATATATATTCATATATATATATAAATATCCATATATATATATATATATAAATATCCATATATATATATATACCTTCTTATAAGCTTCATATAGATATATATGACTATTTTGTATATATATATAGATGTATATACATTGTTGTGTTGTTAACTGTGTTAGCTGGTTGTATTGTATTGTTATTGTAATAAAAATGTTGGTAAAGTTTGTTTGATAACACTTAATTATAGTTAGTTATAATTATTATAATTACAATTAATATGAAGGATGGATTAAAGTGTGTTTTACATCGTTATTCAGTATCGTCACAAAAGATCATCGAGTCTTTTCTATTGTATTTTTATTACTCTTGTTTACGTGCTGACCAAAAAGTATTTGAAATAATTATCTTTTTAAATATTCGGGACCACTGTTATGATTTCATTTCTTCTCTTATTAATTCGTTCAATCGTTTAGTTTATAACTCATGTTAATCAATTTTTATTCGTTTGTTCATTCATACGTGTAGACGTTCATTTGTCTGCTTAATTAATTCGTTCATCATCATTCATTCATTCATTCATCCATCCATTCATTCATTCATTCATTCATTTTATAATTTTTTTATTCACTTATTTTCAATATAGATTTCATTCTTTGACATCATAACCGTTTTAACATTTGTTCATTCAATATATTCCATCCATCCATTCCTCTATTCATCCATCTACACATACATTCATTCCTTCATTCATTCATCTATTTTTCAATCAATCAATTAACAAATCGATCAATCAATCAATCAATCATTTAATTAATCATTCATTCATTCATCAATCTATTCATATATCATCTATCTATCAAAATGATATATAATGTTCATCTCTTCTCTCGACCTAAAAACTTTGATAACATTATTTTTATATTCGCATATATATTTTTCTGATGAAAAATAAAAATGAAAAACTGGGTTTGTTCTTCTTCTTCTTCTTCTTCTTCTTATTATTATTATTAAAATTTATATTATCATAACTATTAATTGATCCAACAGACGATAAAATTCATCTGGAATTTAAAATGAACCTGTCAAGAGTTAAGCAATCGCACCAGGCTGGAACCGCGAATGAATGACGACAAGGTTCTTTAATTATTACTCATTATTGTTATAATTATTTTTATTATTAATTATTATAATCTTGATAAAAAAACTCGTTCCAACAAATCAAACGATCACTTTATTTACTTATTTCATTATTCGGGTTTTTAAAAAATAAACCAAAATAGGCGTTTATACAATATATATACTTATACAAGGGGTGTGCAAACTACGGCCCGTGGGCCGCATGCGGCCCGCGTAGCTATCTTATGCGGCCCGCGTTCGCCAAAAAAGGTTGTTAGCCAGACATTTATGATCTAATAAAGGAGGCACAAATCCTAGAAAAAATTCTCCCCCGGTTCGAAAAATTTGCTATTTAAGTACATTAGCGGCCCTTCAAAGGTAAAATAGTTCTCAATGCGGCCCTCCCAGCAAAAAGTTTGCCCACCCACTTATACCTTTATATCAAGTTTGCATATAAGTGTATATATACATAAATATATATATATATATATATGTATGTGTGTGTGTATGTGTGTGTGCGCGTGCGTGTATCTATCTATATGTGTGTATGTGTGTTTATTAAGCATTTAGGCTTACATGTAACTGGGAAAGTATGAGATGTTTGCCTCTTTCTTTCTTTGACATTTTTATTAGAATCATCGTCATCGTCATCACTACATTACACATATATATATATATATATATATATATATATATATATACATATATGTAAATATACATATATATATATATACATGTATATATATATATATATATATATGTGTGTGTGTGTGTGTGTGTGTGTGTGAGTGTGTGTGTGCTTGTTTGTGTATATAGGTTGCTGTTGTTTTAAGAACGTGACATTTAGTGTGATTAATTTTTTCAAATGTGCTTTTCAATTATGATAGATATCATATCGCTATCATCTATAGGTATATCAAATACCATCATCATCATCATCGTCGTCGTCGTTTTAGTATCATTGCTTTCTTCGTTAACATCTTGAATACCTATA